GAGAGAGAGAGAGAGAGAGAGAGAGAGAGAGAGAGTTTTCCAGCCATGCACACAGAGAGATAGAGAGAGGCTACTTCGACGATAGGATGAGCAAAATCGGAATGAATCTTCCACTAGAAATATGGAAATGAAGCCAGACAAAATCTAGTCTCTCTCCTGGCCAGACCTCTCAGAGGTCTGAAGCCAGAGAAATGAAGTCTTGACAGTTCCTTGGTAGTCTTGGAGTGTTCTTGTTGTGGCTATGGCTGCCAGTCACCAGGTAAGTTTTCTCCAGGTCTCTTTTCTCTTTTAGGTGTTCCCCCAGTCTCCTCCCTCTGCCCCTTCCTCTTACTCTACTGTCTTTTTCTGTGGTGATCGCCATGCCCGCGGAAACTCCTTGTCCTCTCACTGTGGCAGCAGCAGGGCAACACGGTGCCGTATTGCGGCGCTTGAGCTGTGCTAAAGGCTGTGGTAAAGGCAGAATTTGTCTCGGTTTACCGAACATCAGTGATATATTGCTTTGACTGGGCACTCTGACCCTGAAGCACGGCACCAATCAGGCCCTGGACGACTCCTGGGATCTGTTGCCAAAGCTTACCTCTGAAGAATTCTTGAGTCTGAGGCAGACTGGGCCTGATTGAATCTTGCTCTGGTCAGGCCTGCAGCACCGAATCCAGGTCTGGACGGCCCAGAAAACCTGTTTGCTCTGAGTCCTACTAGCATTTCTCAGACCCTAGAGGCCGCTATACAGACCAGCCCCACCTCATAGAGAGCAACTCTGGGCCTGTGGAAGGCAGGTTTTCTACCATGTGATCCCGAATATGCTTTAAAAAAAAAGGAATATGGTGGAGTGAGTCAGGATGGTATTTATACCTGTGTGATCCCTTGCCTGTGTCCACAGCTTGTATGCCAGTTCAGAAGTGGTATTGGCGCATAAGAAGGGTGTATTTGAGGCTGTCAACCTCACAGAGATGAACCTCCGAATTGTCGAGTTTGAAGACATGCACGTCTGGGAGGCAGAGGAGGTGGCCAGTTCACGGGTTCCTTCTGCAAAGATCATTGAACTTGCAAACACAGGTGAGAAAGGGAAATGAAACAGTTTTTGAATTGTTGGTTATTACTACTTACTAGGGACGCAACGGTGAGGTGATCTTCAACCGTACCTTTTGTCAAATGCCCAGGTTCCGTTCACATTTTGTAACCTCCCGCTGTCGAACTGATGGCTGAAGTGGCGTCAAACTTGTAGTCTCTGGTTTAGTACATAAACTTCTGAATACTTTCTCCTTGTGCGTGTCCCAATCGCCACGAACTATTGATGTGATCAAAGCACTTTCCAATGCCGGCATCTTGACAACTATTGCATGGACTTAAACCACCAGTACATGGGCGCCTGGGCCGCGGGTCTGACACCTCGAATTCTGGAGGCACGAAACGAAAACTGGGCTGCCGATCAAATTTATCAACGGTGGGCCCAGCGTTTGGCGTTTCGGCGTCGTTTTCTTGTGGCGACAAGTTTCGGTCTGCAAGGCTGGGGCCGTGTACTTGTGGTTTAATCCTCATAGTTAGGTTCAAAACGGGCTTGCCGTTTGGTTCCAACTTCCAGGACCATCTCTGTACCTCTAAAGTGTGAAGCATTCCCCAACTAACGCCCCCTGTGGGGCTCAGGAGAATCTGGGGGTGGACGGAACCACAAGGGGACCGCATGGCCATGGTATTTCTTTTGTGTGTGCCCGTTTTCTTCCGCATGTTTGACATTGAGTCCGCCGAACCTTATCCATGGATCATGCTCAAAGGTTCGGCAGATGGAACCACGAGTGGAGGCCGCGTTTTGGGAGGCATCGTCTTTTCTTTGTTTGCGCCCACACTTTTGTTTGTGCGTTTGGCGTCGTGTGCACCGATGCTTTGAGTATCCTCCCGGTCATACTCGAGACCCAAACTGCGCGCTGATCACAACTGATGTGCGTCCCTACCACTCATCCCTGTCACCCACCGCTTATCTGGACACTCTCTGTGTGTGTGTGTGTGTGTGTGTGTGTGTGTGTGTGTGTGTGTGTGTGTGTGTGTGTGTGTG